CCACAACCCATTCCACATTTGTTGATCCGGTATAATTGTAAATCCTTCTAGAAAAGTAGAAGTCTATAGAACAGTGTTTTTCCATAATTCCCTGAATGATAATTGGGATTTATTGGTTTTCCTCTTGTTCCTCAAGACAGGTTTTTCTGTCGACTGGCTGTCAATATATCCTTTGTTGCTTGCTTTTTATTGTTGTTGTTTTTTATTTTTATTTATATTTTTCATTGTCAAGATGTTTATGTGAATGTCAAGACTAAGTTTAATTTTTCCAATTAAGAGCACAACCTTAACTTTGGCGAATTATATTTATTGAAAGAATTAAATTTGTAAATGAGATAAACATTGAAAGTACTCTATTTATTTTTTTAATATATTTAATTTAATTTTTTTATTTTTTAAACTTAAATTTTAAATAAAAATTTAATATATTATATAAATATTAATTAAATTTTTTTTTATCAAATTAAAGTAGTTAACAAGAATTTCATAGAGAAAGAAAAAAATTTTTAATTATTAGTTATATAAGTTATTAAATTTTTATTTAAAATTTAGGTTTAAAAAATTAAAAATCCAATTATATTTACTAAAAATAAACACATAGTCAAGTTTCAGTAAATATAACATTCAAATGGTTTGAGGATGGGAATATTTATCTTGGAAATAAGAGGGAAATAGATTTTTAAATTTAAGACATAATCATGCCTATGCTTTAAAATCAAAATGAAAATGATTTTCATTCTATAATATCATGAAAGGTTTGAACTTCCTAAACATAAGCAAATAGGTTGGAAAACAACAATTACTTTCTCAAAATAGGAAGTTACTTCTTAAGAGAGTGAAAAATTAGTTGTGGTCAAATTAAGCCCGAGTATTCATATTACAAGATTAGAATGGGAGAGGTGGAATTGAAGTGGGTCAAGAATGAGTGTTGATCAAGGAAGCCTGCCGCATGAGCCACCAGCGGTGGTAGGAAACGCCACTCTAGAGAGGGAGAAATTATCTCTTTATGATTCACGGCTGGGGTTGGAAACTCCTCATTCCATTACTAACTCTGATCCAATTGTGAATATGTCTTTCATTTATTCAGCAATGGCAACCGTCTGCATGTACTGTTTCTAATGTCTGGTGCACTTTAAATACGGTACAAGCAGCGGTTACCATTGTTGAAGTGAAAGAAGTAGTTTTGTGGAAATGAAGAGGAAGGTTTGAAGGGAATAAATAGAGGGAATTCAACATCAAACCTGAATTAACAACCCAAACATTATTGAGTTGTTGGACCATATGCAATGCAACTGCAAAAGTGATTTTCTCTTTAAGGGTGTTTAGTAAAATTTAAAAGGTTTTTACTTTAAAAATACTACTATTTTCTCACAAATTTAAAATTTTATTAAAAAGTTATTTTATTTTTAAGTGAATTTTAAGTAAAATTTTAAAAAATTACACATTTTAATTTTTTTTAGAACTTATTTAAACCCTATGAGATTGAAAATTAAAATTACTAGAATTAAGGACTCAAATTTGCATATTACTTTAAACAAAATCTAAAAAAGCATCAAAGCATTTTGTATTTATATGTGTAATATTCTTTTTGTTGTCGCCTGAACAATCTTTTTAAAACTAAATTGTGATCTCAAAAATAGTTTAATACTTTAATTGCTTCTGATTAAGTGGACAGCACATGTAAAATTTGTCTCATTGGAAAATAGAGATTGGACACTGCTTCGGGTTGTGTTTGGTGAGGAGGCCGTCCAGTTAGTGGACCACTAATTTTTATTTAGTATTTATTATATATAATTTTCTTTTTCTTTTTAACAAGGATAATTACAAGAGTAGTGAAAAGACAATGGCCTAACTCATGGACGAAAAAAACATCAATAGTTTTTAAATTTAATATTTATTATATGTAATTTTCTTTTTTTTTTTAACAAGGATAATTATAAGAGGAGTGGAAAGAGAATAAGTTTAACTTATGGACAAAAAAATTTCAATAATTTTTAGATTTAATATAACTATTTATGTAATTGATGATATTTGAATTTTTAATCAACTCTATTTAAAGATAAATCATTAAATATGATGGATTACTTTAATTAAAAGTAATTTTTATGCATTTAATGTTTTATTTTGACCCCTAAATTTTTTTTTTGGCGTGGGGGTGGGGGGATTTCCTCCACTTAGTGAGGACTAAAGATTTCAGTCTCTTTTTTTTTTCTTTTTTTCTTTTTTTTAATGTTTGGTATACGTTTGTTTCAGACATCTTATGTCAGCGTCAATTAGAAGACCAAAGGCCTTTTCAATTGTTGATGAATTCAACTAAACAATAATTAATTTCGTACTTTATTATTATTATTTTAAATAATTTCTTCCCGTGTTTTTTTAGAAGGAAAAAATCAGAGAGGGAGAAGCCTCAGCATCCTTGGAACATAATCCGAACACAATTTTTTCTTTCTTTTTCTTCACGGAAACCTGTTGACTCTTTATAATTTATATAATAAAAATGGGAGCGGGAAATGAGGTAATTTTAAAAATGACTGCAATCCAAGTAACAACTGGCGTGGCAAAAGCATAAAAAATCTAACTTAATGTATTTGTTTGTCATTTTCCATATCGAGCTCTTAGTACCCAATAACTGTTTTTTAAAAAAAAATTAATTTTTAATTTTAAGTTATATAATTAAAGTTATTGAATTTATACTATTTTATATATCATATAACTTAAATTAAAATTTTTTATTTTTATTAAAAATTATTATTAAATTATTTAAGTAATTAATAATAATTAATTTTTTTAAACAATTGTACTTCACAACTATTAATTATTATTACTTATAATTAAATATTCTTAATTGTTTGATTGGTTTAAGAGATTTTTTTCCTTATGTTTTAAGAGTACAAAATTAAAAATTATTACACAAATGAGTTTAGTTACATAGTTAATAAGTAAAAAATTAAAAATTATTTCTTAATAAAAAATTATAATAAAAATATATATTTATTACCCTTTAAAACTATAAATTAAAAAAACCCTTAGTTTAGGTTAGTAACTATCAATCTTAAACCTTTATAGTTTATAATAAACACCACTTTTAAGGATCCATCAAAGCATTATGCTATTGGATTATCTTTTCCGATCATAGAATGAGAATCTATATCCATTAAATTAAAAATCTTCCAACTAATAAAAAGCTTAAAACTTCAGCCATTGAAAATGTCATAGCCACCAAAACCAAAGTATTAAATTTGATAATCTCAGGCGAAC